ACATTACAATGATAAAGTTCACATTACAATAGTTTCCATAATGTTTAGAGTGATAAAGTTCACATTACAATAGTTTGCATAATGTTTAGAGTGATAAAGGTTACATTACAATAGTTTGCATAATGTTTAGAGTGATAAAGTTCACATTACAATAGTTTTCATAATGTTTAGAGTGATAAAGTTCACATTACAATAGTTTGCATAATGTTTAGAGTGATAAAGGTTACATTACAATAGTTTCCATAATGTTTAGAGTGATAAAGGTTCACATTACAATAGTTTTCATAATGTTTAGAATGATAAAGTTCATATTACAATAGTTTTATAAATAAATGACTAATGAACGTGATACTATTTTCAACATTCCGAAGATATCCGAAGGAACGCACTCGATGGCTCAGCGAGAAGTCTGAAGTATTGGAGCACTAAACATTGGGTTTCGATATTCGCTGTGTGCATAGCCCAGATAGCCCATTATGGAGCTATGCGCTTGGTAACAAACATCCAAGTGATCATACGAAAAAAAGATCAAAACAGGAAATTATTATGATAAGTTTAATTATTTTTTAACTTATTATAGTCGTCGAGTATGGTGTACCACAATCCAAATTCTGACCATTCTTCAGAAGTTTTTTGTTTGACATAACTGTACTCTAGTCAAGTATACACCAACAGTTGCCCAGTCTCAAAATGTGACCGGTGAGGATATAACAATCAGTTCTTTATTTTATTTTATTATTTATTCATTATTAATCTTAATAACTGTAGCTGTGAAACTTATTAGCTGGGTTAATACAAGTACACTTTCTATATGTTTATAGATTTAAAAAAAAAGTTACATCGACCTTAAAAATGAACTGATATTTAATCTTTTAAGTGCCCTTAACCTTATAAGAAATGCTATTGGAGAGTACTAAATTGAATTATTTTATTTAAAAAATTTGCCTATAAAAGTATTGTCAGCTGGTTTTCATGAATCTCTTAAATATTTATAATTGTTTAAACAACATACAGTACAACCTATTTGAAGTTAAAGAATCGTTCTTCAATGTACGCTGTAAACTGTAGGCTATTTCTCTCATTTGATGTTTGACCGAGAGTGGCTCAGTTGTAAACGTTTCGGACTATAGATATATGGGTCCAATCTTACGTCACGTTACCGCCAAAAACGAATAATTTTCCACTCTTTGGGGCCATGGGTGGCAGTCAAATCCTACTATTCGGTTAGACGAGAGTTGGCAGTAGGTGCTGTTGACTAGCTGCTTTCCATCAGTTCAAAGCTACTAACTCCTAGCGCAGATAACTCTTAAGAAACGTGACACTAATATCCGAAAGCAAATAAATCTTTTTTTCTTATTTTCTTTTTTTTTTGGCGTTAATGATTTCTTGCATGAATTTAAACGGTGGTTTTGTTTTTAAAAAAGCTTAACATAGTAACAACCTATATGTACTCCCATCTAGTGAGTAAAATACTTAAATTAAATTAAATACTATAATTACGAGAATTTAATTGTTGATGCCAAACATGCTTTTAATAGAGTATACCTAAAATATTTTGTTCCTTATAATGAAATACTCTGTTCTAATAATAGTCAAATAAATTAAGTGATACTGCATATTTCTATTGATCATTAAAATTATATAAATAAGAATTTACGTAAGTCCAAATGAGTCAAAATATGTATATGTTAGCGTGACCCTCCAGCAATTCCAGCTGTATTGCTTGTGTATTTGATTATTCTAATTTCAATTAACAAAAGTTATATGTTACTCTATGTTCTTAAGAAGTAATGTAAGTAAAAAAATAACAAATAAGGATTACTGTTAAAAATAACCTTTTAGTAATATTTACTAGAAAAATAAGTTTGTGTATATGCTACTGCCATCTATTGATAAATATATCATTTAACGCAATTAATTCTTTTAACACACTATAGATCCAAAGAAACTATATATTGTAGCGTATTTGAGAGCAATTATTTGTTTACACTAATAATAATATATCTTTAAAAAAACTATATCTTTTATATATAAATTAGCGACAGTAACTAGAAACCAAACTTTATTTTAAATATTAGCTGTTACTGATAAAGATACTTGGCTTACAATGGCGACATTATTAAATCATTATATAAAAATACCTGAAAGTAAAAAATATGAGAGAGATGGGAGTTTTTAATTCTCTAATGATAAGAAGTACAAAAATAGTTAATCAATTTCCTAACTTTCTTTGAGCTTATAATTATAGCCACTAGATGTCAGCAAAAACATTTGTGGCACAACTTGCATAAACGAGTTCTGTTTAATGAGGATATATTTAAATATTTCCCTATGAAATTATGAAAATGAAACTGATATAATGCTAACACTTCAATTATAAACTGTTTTTATGACAATTGTAGTGAAATTAATTCACAATAAAGTTGTTCAATTACATTCTGAATGTAACTCTCAATAAAGGTCGTGATATTTGCACTTTGATCCACTCGGATACTTAGCGTTGAACAAGATCCACGTATTGGTTACAAGTAATACTGCAGACGCTTTATTCATATGATGAGAAATTAGCCTTATCTATACCAAGCATAACTGATATTTTAATTAAGTAAATTTAGCCAATAAATGAAAAAAAGGAATTTTATTATAAATGGAAAAAAATATTGTTCTGTAGATATTGAAATAGATCATTATGTATTATTTCTATTATACTTACATTGAGACCAGTTTAAGCTTAAACCAAAAAGAATTGTAATATCAATGTTTACACTCGAATGGCAAACGCAATAACATATATTATAAAAGTATGTCAAAGCACGAAGTTTTGTCTGTTTATATATTTTTTATTTGAAGGAATAGGTTTTTCTTCGTATTTACATCATTTTTTATCTTAAAAATATTTAGTTTAAACCAGGTGAGGACGTTGTTTTTTAATAACAGAAAGTTGTACTTGAATTAAGTAGTTTGATATTTAATATGATTCATTTTACATATTATCTACATGGTTTTATTACCGTTTACATAAACTCTTCCGAATAATAATATGAAAAATGGAATTCTGGATATCAAAAGTAACTAAGGAAATAGGTGCTTTGGAGTTCTGAATTTGTAATTGCGAAATAGATTTTTTTATGCTTTTTGTATGATCTGACTTTATATTTATGTACATAAAGTTAGATAAAAAGCATCAGCGGAAAATAGGCGGTTTAGACAATTTCAAAAATAATAATAAAATAAATGACGACCAAACAGAAAAGATATGTGAAAAAATAATAAACTGAAACTAATATTTGATCATTAATATCATAACATTTAACCTTAGAATTAAGGATGAGGGCTATGTTCCTTCAGCATTTTAACCCCATTTTTCTAAACATTTAAGTACCAAACTGCTTGTAGTTCCTTATTTCTTGATTTATCGAGACTTACCTAAAGCCTTCCTTATAAAACTTAAGTCTTGCTAAAAACTTGGAAATCTGAGAGAGTTTTTAGAAAACTTGGCGTAGGATAAAAATATATAGTTCATCACTAGAAATAGAAAATGTAAGATTATTTAACAGCCAAAGAAATAACAACATTGAATTGTAATACGGGAACCAAGTTTATTTTATTGAAATTTTAAGTTCGCTTCAATATTTTGTGTACCGAATAATCCCAGTGTCATATACAATATCACCTAGAAACTTTACGCCAGATGCTCTGACAACCAATTGAGTATTGAACGGCTTAGCTTAATAGACTAGTTACTGATGATTTGAAAAGAAATGTGTTGTGTTTTGGGAATAATGGCATTGTATTGATAAAATTTGATTAAACATTTGATATCGGGCTGTATATATTGTGATGTTACTGAACGAATAATAAATATATTATTTCGGAATATCAAGTTTATTTACTGTACCTGCTATTGTGCGGTTATATAAAGTGAAGAACCAAATAGTAGCCAATGAAAATTTTTCTTCACTTCACCTATCCAGTGTATAGGTTTTTCTCATAGTGAATACAAAGCATGTTCACACCAACAATATGGTTGTTACTGAACATTTTTTCTTTTTAGGAATACTTTTAGATTGTACTAGATATAATTAATATATAAATTTTAAGGTTTCAGATTAATAATATCTCAATTTTATTATTGAAGTTAACATCTAAGCCATTATTAATTTTAAAAATTAAAAATTATTAATTTTTTACTAATTTTAAAAACTTAGTTAAAACTTTGACACTTTGTTAAATAGGTAATAAGTGAAAAGAAAACGTCACTTGTTTTGCTACCATATTTGAAGTTGTGAACAAGATAAATAGTGTTCATGCATCTAAAAGTCCTTAAAATACTTTTAATGAACGTCAACTCATTAAGATATCTCACTTATATTTTCTTATCTACTGTAGTAGCGTTTTTACATTCTGGTTTTTATGTTTACTAGTGTGTAGTTTTACAGAATGTTTCTTTTACCATACCACGTTTTATTTATTCCCTGTATATCTTTAAACCTATGTTTAAACCATGTTTCTTTGGTTTCTTAACAAATCTGTATATTTTTAGTTTGTTTATTTCTTTTTGTTTTCTTTTTACGTACTGTAGTTTCACATTTTGTCATAAATAAAGTGTAATTTACAGATTCAGTTTTCTTTTAACATGCTATAGTTTTACTGCAGTTTTAACTAAGTTGGAACATTGCAATGCGCATTCCAAGAAAGTTGAGTTAACAAACACATATTTTCTAGTCTTATAATTATTCATGTTATAATTATCAAAGTGCATTTCATGTACGTTTAAAAACCGCAGCTCAATCCACGTTTTATTCATATCCACATATTTACAGGAAAAGAACACCGTAAGAAAAGTATGATCATATTATTTAAAAAGTTCTGATTTCAACGTTTCATTACGAGAAGATAAGTACGAACAAGATAACATATTAAGCCTACTTCAGAAAGACAAAAGGGATAATTTTATCTGTGAATTGTGTTCAAAACAAGTATGGAAGTTGAAATCAAATTTAGCTGCTTTTTTCATTAAAGAAAATTAACAACTATACATTTAATGTTGACCTTATACAGAACAATCAAAGACTTCTACATTTTCATTTCTTGAGTTTTTATTCTGGGTTGAGAAGGGAAATCGTTCTCTCCGTGATGAAGCAGAGGTTGAACTTCAGGAGTCGGTCTTTCATTAGGCTGGCTCTGTGTTGGTGGCGGAGGAGGTGGTGGCACATCTTGGATAGCACCAGGAGATATTGAAGTTGCCCGATTTGTTTGCTTGTGCTTATGTCGAGGTGGTAGGGTATCATTTGGTGTTTTCACCTGAAATATTATCAAAGACATTATCTGAGAACGGCGGATTTTTTTCACTTTCTGTTGCAACTATTCATCATCTCGTATTTTATGTTGAACATATTCGTAAACTTACACAGCCTAAGATGTTCGAAATTTTCAGAGTTAACATCTTCAGAACGCGCCTGTATAAGAAATACTGTTATATAATTATATATACATCTTATTGTAACGTAAAATGCAGACCATTAATATCATAACATGGAAAATGTATGTTTAGGTTTTATTAAGTTTATAATTAAGCACAAAGCTACACAATGGGCTATCTGTGCTCTGCCCACCACGGGTATAGAAACCCGGATTGTAGCGTTGTAAGTCCGCAGACATACCGCTGTGCCACTGGGGGGCTTGATTTTATGTCGAAAAGGCATAAAAATTAATTTAAACATACCTTATAATTGTTTTTTTGAAGTTTCGCTTCAATTCTGTATTTATCTCTTTGATAAAATACGCCAGCAAATATGAGAACGTTTAAAATAAGAAGCGAGCATCCAACAGCAATAGTGATACTGAGTGCTGTTGAGTAGCTCGTGTGTCTTAAGACAGTGGCCACTGTATCAGAATCATTAGTAGAAGTTGTATGGTGGAATTCTTTATTAGATACCATGGTGGGGTATAGGTCGTCCTCAATTGCTCTGGAACTTGCACTGGTGTTCCGAACACCGCGGAGTGTCGATAAAGGCAAACCTGGAAACACTGGTGCAACTGTTGTAGCTACTGGAAATCTATGAGGAACGGGTACCTGGCGAACTATGCCATCGTACAGTTCATGCTTGTTATGGTCATCCAGTAAGTGGTGATAAGGTGGAACACTAATGTCGCTTTTATCCAATTTGGGGATGAGATGAAGCCAAAGCGACATTCGGTGAGCGTGATAGTGGTCACGGACTTTTGGTTTTGTTCCTAGGGAATGACAATAAAATCATTGTTTGATAATGTATTTGACATAAAATCTCCGTTGTATAATTCTCGTTATATACTGTTAATAAAAATAAGTAAACTAATAGTGACGTACTTGTATTACCTGGATTATTTGTCACTGTGGCATATTCACTTAAAGTCGTATAAACACTATCAGTCACCCAACAAATGGAATATAACACAAGATTCTTCTTCATATTTATTACCTCCTCAAAGACCTTGAAAAATGTTCGCTATTACCAGCGATGATACTTTTCACCATACAATAGTGAATAATGGTTTCCTAAAACAAGATTTTCGTGAGGTAAGGTCATGTGTTATTCTGATATCTAAACAATTAAGTATTTCTAAAGCTACATTATAATAATCTTCTCCTCAAAGAATATTTAGTAGTTCTAACGTAGACACATTTATACTGGAATTATTGAAAAACGTTTTTTTAGAGGACTGTTTGGTATATCCACAAAACAGTTTAATTTTTGAATGGTGTGTTTTATAATCAAATAAATAGAGTTATATACTTCTAATTATATCGCACATCTGTTTTAGTGACTCCCTGATAGCCACCAGTAGTAACCTTGAAGGTTTATATCGCTAAAATTCGGAGTTAGATGCATGTAGTAAGCACAACGCAGACAGCCTATTGTGTAGTTCTGCGCTTAAAAGAAATAAAAGAAAGACATGTTTTTAGCGGGGGCAATAAAAAATTGGTTACAGCACTATATATATAACAAGTTAATCAATAAACAAAACAGTCATGCAAAATAGCTTTTTTTATTAACTTGAGTATTTGCCATCCTAGGATAAATTTATCGAGGAAGAAAAATTAACTATTATTTATTTCTTTTTTTTTTCTAGACGCAAAATTATCACTAAAATAACTTTCTTCGAAGTAGAATGTTATTATAATAACGATATTTTATTTGCATTATAAAAAAGTTTTAGTTTGGCTTTCTGTACGTATAAAATATTAGTCCTTTTGCTTCTTTTCATGTTGAACTAGCATGAACAAAGTGATGTTTTCTAAATAGAGAAGGTCTTGTAATTACAATGAATAATCCCATAAATCTCCATGAAATTGGCATACTATGTCCTTCAACTTCGTTAAGACCTCTTGTTTTCTTTTAGCCTTTCAAGCCAACGCTTATAAAAATAAACTAAGCTTGAATTTTGATTAATGCATCTTGAAGTGGAATTAAGACTTATCTTAAAGACACACTCACGACTAAGTATTATTTTTAAAAATAGTATTCCTTTACTAAAACATTCCTATGTTGTTTACTAATATCTTGTCAGCGACGTAATCAAGACTATGGTAAATTAATAATACGAACGTCAAATAGATATGGAACAAATAAGGCAGGTCAATTACCTGGAAGCTGGATAACATCAGATGGTAAAATGTGATCATGAAATAAAACGAACAATAGAGATGGCTAAAGACGCATTTCTGAAATTGTAAAAGATACTGACAAATAGTAAAATTTCTATGGGAACGAAGTTAATAGTTTTGGATTGTTATGTTATACCAATTTTTACGCATGCATCAGAATGTTGGACAATATATTTTGCAAATATAGAAAAGAGATCTGAAGCAATTGAGTTGTGGTTCTTTAGGTGCATCTCAAAGGTATGTTGGACAAGACACATCTCAAATGAAGATACTTTGTCAAGATCAGGTTGCAGGAGGAAGCTGCTGAGTAGCAGAAAAAAAAGACAGTTGGAGTTTCTCGGACACATTATGAGGAAAGAAGAAATTGAACATGTAGACGTAACTGGAAAGATCGAATGAAGGAAAGACCGTGAAAGACAGAGATTAACTTATGTCAAGAGTCTATCTATATGGATGAATGTATCGACATTGGAAGTTCAACTAGAACAGATCTGTAGAAGACCATGGTCACCAATGTCCTGTTTGGATATGGTACATAGAGAGAGAGAAAACGATTCATATCATAAACAAAAACACATTTATGTCATAGTAGAAACCAATCGCACGTCTGTCTTCATAGAGATATTTTATTTTTGTATTCTAATTTACTTTACGAAATTTTACAAACATTGCTCAATACGACATTATTACCGTGGACAGCGCCACCTCAGCATGAGTGAAGTACTACTAAAAATAATATGTGTGTCTAGGAACTATCACTGACGTTGAGGCTGATGAATGAATTTTGAAACACCAAGCTTATTAGCTATTTCACGCTAAACTTCGGCAAGATTTCAGAAAATTGTTTTTCCTTTCTTTCTAATTAATTGTCGTTTTTGTAATTTTTAAATTATTGGTGGTTTTAGAAATTCTTTATATCAAAATTAGTAGAGAAGTTTGCCTTACAATAAGAAAGTTGTTAAAATACAAGAACGTTAAATGCTAATAGTGATCATACCTATGGCAATGTATTTCTGATGAACAGCATCATACACTGGCCAGTCGAACCGTTCGAAACGACCAATTCCTTTGTCATCAGTTTCATCGCGGTGATGCAGAGGAGTGTTGGGATCCCTTAAACAATCATTATTACACGCAAATTAGAGGCATAAAAATATACACTGAAGCTAAAAAAACTAGAAATACAGAGTAAGCTTTCATTAGTGACTTTCTCTAATGAAAACTAAAACATTTTTTATGATATATTTCATTCTGTACACTCTAAACATTATGGAAACTATTGTAATGTAACCTTTATCACTCTAAACATTATGGCTTATATGTTAGAGTTTAGTACTATAAGATGATAACGATTTCATTGACATTTGCAGGTTCTTATATGAAAATATATTCATATAGAGTTCAGTTTTGTAAGGTCAAGGTGAGTTTCTGTACAGTTGGTAGGTTCTATTTTATATACCCTCGCACAGATTAACATTTTTTGAAATATATTGTTACAGGGATATCCATACTTTGCTGACTCTTTAAGCTGATTCTCTTTAAACGTCTCAAGTGACTGCTGACTCTCTTTAAACGTCTCAAGTGACAATTAAATGCTGGTGTTTTAAGTAGCACTTTGTAGACGATCTAAACTAGTCTTAGCTTGGATGGTAAAAATGTGTTTTTACGTTTTCTTGTGTGTTTTTTTTTAATTATGTAAATCTTTCGCTACCATACTCTGTTAGCGTATACTGCGAAAAGCTAAGTATTTTTAGACCAAGCCGATTTTTTTTAGTCAAGTAATAATTAAATAACTTTATATAAATTATTTGGAATTATCATGGACGAGATTTTCTGATGACTTTATTGTTATTTCGAAACAATCGTTATCAAATTAGCTATTTTCTTAATGTATTTTCCTCGGTGGATAAGCGGTAAGTTTGTAGACTTACAACGCTAAAATCCGGGGCTCGATTCCCTCTCGTGGACAGAACTCAGGTAGCAAATTGTATAGCTAAAACTACAACATCTTCATGTATTAAAAGGGATGAAAGAGAGGATTAAATTTACTTTTCAGTTCTTTAACGCTCCTTTGCTCTTTTGGATGATTTTAGGAATATACATGTAGATGGAAATCAAGAAATTATGACTCCTGTTTTTTCGTGTGTTTTTTTATAAATCGACCAATTATATTTTTAGTGACCATCCTAAGTTATAAAACTAAATATTCTTAATTGTCTTGCGTGAAGGTTTTATTTTTGGTATCTAACTCAAAAGTCAGAAAACGTAGATTCAAAGAATTTAAAGTTTTTGATTGATTATCATTTTCCAATAATGTTGAAAACACCCAAATCGAATATAGACAAAACAATGTCAGTGAGGAGGTTATCCCTATAGTCACTATCTGTTCTACAGGTATTAAGCAAGAAATGAATTATGTTATTGTGAATAAATTAAAAGAGGTTTTCTAAGATCCTAAAATAATCTGGGCCACAAAGCAGCCCCTAAATCTGTATAGATTACTAATACAGGATAGTGTAACAAGTTGATACAGAACGATTACTTTTATGGAGTAGAAAAAATTGCTTAGCGTTAATTGATAAATACCTTTAACAAGAAAATGTAATTCTTAGGCTTGTATAGCAAGAATTATTTCAGAAAATAACTTTATATTTGTAATTCTAATAGACGATATTTAGGCTTTAAAATGTACAGTTTGTGTCTTGGAGAAACATTTAATCTAAAATTTCGAATAAAAGTTTCATCTTTATGAAATGTTGATTGGTTTAAAGATCTTGTTTGTTTGTTTGTTTTGAATTTCGCGCAAAGCTACACGAGGGCTATCTGCGCTAGCCGTCCCTAATTTAGCAGTGTAAGACTAGAGGGAAGGCAGCTAGTCATCACCACACACCGCCAACTCTTGGGCTATTCTTTTACCAACGAATAGTGGGATTGACCGTCACATTATAACGCCCCCACGGCTGAAAGGGCAAGCATATTTGGTGGGATGGGGATGCAAACCCGCGACCCGCAGATTGCGAGTCGAGCGTCCTAACCACCTGGCCATGCCGGGCCTTAAAGATTTTAAACGACATTTTTAATATTTTACCATTTTAGAATTCTAATCAAGAGATTATTTTTGAAAACCATTTTATTGGCCACATCTTTCAATTTGAATTTAAATGTGTTAAAGGATAAAGTTTTAAAAAGGATGAAGGTCGAGAGGGTAAGATACTTTTGGCGCACATTATATCACACATGTGTTACACAGATTTAAAGATAAGTTTGGTTGCTATTATTCGCATATTAGGAGTGTCACGAAAAATAGTTGAGTTCAGCTCAAGTTGAAATAGGAGACTGTGATATAATAAAAACCATTAAAACTTGATTAGATTTGGAGAATGTTTATAATAAGAAGTAATTTAAAATTCTATGTTATAAGTTATTTCACAGGGATTGATTATTTTTAAGATGGGGTGAAGTGACTCTTTACACGAAGGATGAAATGAAACATGTTGCAAATGAAGACATAAAAAATGGTAGTAAAATATTGGGATTGACCTGAATTATATAGACATTAATTCCTTGGTGGCAAAAGGAAAGAATAATAATGTTTCCCCAGAAAATTCAGGGAGGTCTAGGATCAGATATGAGAACCTCTCTCTCTTTCATTTTTAGCAGGTCAGTAGTCAGTAGGCAGGCGTTACTCCTGTTTTTAAGAGTTGCTCTGGAAGTTATACATAAGTTAGTCTTCTGTAGTGGGAAAAATTCTACAGAGTTTTATTAAAGAAGTTTTGGAAAATCACAGAATGAAGTTCGTTATCATAAAAGAAAAATGAACATGAACTCACCAAAGGGAAATAATTTTTAACAATCTGTTATGTTCTTTTTGAAGATCGTACTTGTTATCTGTACAATGGAATGGGGTTGGTTTGGTTTATTATATTTTCAAAAAACTGTTTATAAGATGCCATGCAATATTTTAGCTAAGGAAATCACATTTATAGAGTTTGGGAAAGACTAGTTAATGTGCACTGTATGGTGGTTAGATGGAAGAAAGGAACGGTTGCTATTAATGGAGTCCAAACATATTGGATCCTTGTTACTAGTGCCTCAGGAGTCAGTGCTTGGCTTTTGCTTTTAGTTAATTACATTAATAATATTAATGGAGCATATTAGCAAAGCTTGCGGATGCAATGAATCCCTTGAGTATTTCAAGATGTACAGTTTTGACAAAAATGTTTGCAGACTGTTCTATATTGATGTTATTGTCTTCATGCATCGAGTAGTTGTTGAATAAACGTCTGAGTAGTGACAGAGAAGGTAGCGTATGATTGTACAAACATGTACGAGCTGTTATTCTGGTCTGTATAAGCTATTCTGAGCATTTGTTTGTCGAAATACACATACACAGATGTTTTGTATGAAAAGGCGTGCTTTTGGTATAATCTTTTTCGAAACAGATCAACGCTTTGTTTAGACAATTTTTCTGTATTTTTCGTCACATGCCAGAAGCTATAGGGGTCAAATTGTTCGATTGACCAGAATTGGTATGAAGCAAACGTGCATTTCCTGAAAAATATGGTACCCTCAGTGTAATGTATCCAGAATCCTGAAACGTCATCTGACTACAGAAAACGTTGTTCCAGGAAAGTCTACTTGTAGACACCAAAAATCCACTGCCATAGATGACCTTGTTTTGATCAGGTTAATACATCAAGGTTGAAAAATGTCTTGCAACACCTTATGACGAGATGGCATGGTAACCAAAAGAACACTGAATATGAGACTGATCAAACAAGGTTATTTTGCAGGAAGAGCTATCTGCAAACTGATATTAATCAGAATTCACCACTGTCACCGTGTTACTTGGGCAAGACACATGTCATCTTTTCAGTTGAGTCCTGTTTCCGACTTGTTAAAACTGATGATAAGATTCATGTTCGTCGTTTGCCTGGAGAACAGATGAAGGAAGAGTGTCTTTCCCACAGGGAACACACAGGAAGTGGTGCAGTACATGTTTGGGCAGCTATTCATCATGGTGGAAAAACTACTATATTATCCTCCAGGGAAACGTCAATGACTCTTCCTACATAGATCACACGGGGATGATGTTAGGGCGAGGTTTGGCAATGACTTTATGTTCCAGGATGACAATGTCACTTTCCTCGGTACATGTATCATACAGGATTATCTCGCCCAGAAGACGTTACAAGATTACCATGGCCAGCAAAGCTCCAGATTGTAAACCCATTGGGAACTGTTGGGCAGAATTGACCCCGAAAATTGCTAACCACGCCACTAAACCAGCTACTGTAGCTGAGTTGCATCGCCTTCTAGTGACAAGTTGGGATTACATCAATAACCTATCAACAGCATACCACGTCGCCTTGTGGAGGTTATTACAGTACGAGAAGGGCCAACCAAATACTGAATGTTGAATATGAATTGATATAAAGTTACAGACGCTATTTATAATAATTAAATGCTATATTTCGTTATTATATATATTTTGGTAAGGTTTTGTTGTGATAGGTGAAACGCTGAATTATACATCTTTCTACAGGTATCTGATAAAATTGTTTGCTGTTCAAATAAAACGTTCATGGTGTCCATAGAACCTGTCTAATTACACAAATTAAATATGTAGATATTTAATATAACATTCATTTCTTGGTTTGACAATGCTAAGTGTAATTATATTTCATTTTAATAATAATGATCTTATTTATTACAAAATATGCAAACATTTTGGCCAAGACTGTATTGTTGATGCTGATTTACTACATAATTATTTGGATCTGTTGGTTAGTTGGATCAAAGTTTGGTAAAATTAAAGTAAGTGCGAAACAATGTACTTGGGTTATCATAATTTGAGCCACATGTTTAATATAGATAGGAACGATTAAGTAGCGTAAATGAAAAACAGTATCTTAGCATACTGGTAAATAAGTCACTCAAACCATCGAGACAATGCCTTGTTGTTAGTAGTTGTAGTTAATAGAATTTTATGGTGTATTTATAAACATATTGATTACAATTCAAAAGAGGTAATTATCTCTGTATACAAATCATTAGTTAAGCCTCACCTAGAAAATTGTGTCTAGTTTTGACCTACTTGACCAATTGCAAGT